CCATTTGTTGATTTGTTCTTGGGTGATTCTAAGTTTCAGCGTTCAGCGTTGCTGCCTGGGCCATCAAAGCGCCATATAAGAAACCACAACCGCTTTTGTATCTATCCTCTTATAGTCTTTCTTTCTTTTCGCTGAAGTGGTAACCAGATTTAACTTTTTTTTTTTTGCTCGCTTGTATCTTTATTTCTTCCTTTTTTATTTTTGATGCCATATGGACAGTTGGCTTCGGGTTCTTGCTGCCAGAGATTTGTCTTCTGACTTAAATGGGTGATGCCATTTTTATTTCTCCTCACTGGCACTCTTGGTTTTTCTTCCTTTTTCTTTATGTTTCTCCTCTCCCTCCAACTATGAAAAAAATACCTTAAACGGAGAAAAAACCTTTCATTTTTTATTTTTCTTATATATTACAGTAGAATCTCGATTATCCGAAACTCTTTCATCCGATAATTTCTATTAACCGAAATCGATTTATTTTCTACGATTTTTTTCATTAACAAAATGCTTTCATAATTCAACTCTACAAGAATCTTTATTTTTATATATTCAATATTTCATTCATATATCTTGTTCATTTTTTTCCCATTTTTGATATTTTATATTTTTTTCTATATTGTACACTTTTTGTGACATTCTTTAATTTTTTTTTATTTCCATATTCTGTATTTTTTTTTATTCCTTACATTGTATAATTTTTTCAATTTTCCATTTTTTTTCTATATTTCTTCTTTTTCCTACATTTGGTTTTTACATTCTATATTTTTTTTTCTGTTTTATATTTTCTACACTCCATATTTCCCCCCATTTTATTCATTCATATATCTTGTTCATTTCTTTGTTCATCTACATTTTTTCTATATTCCATATTTTTTTAATTTCCTTTTTAGTTTCTATTTTCTTTACTTTCTATTTTTCTATTTTCAAAAGTCTATATTTTCTATTTCCTACATTCCTTTATTTATTTCTCTATTCCAATTAAAAAGAATTGATCTGTAACCACGACGTCATAAATCTTGCACGCAACGCACTGATGACTCAGCAAGGTCATGATATTAAAATTAAAAAGTTGAATTAAATGTAAATACTATATACAAAAAAAATTGATTTTAAGATTTCCATTTTAAACAAAATTTCTTCTTTCGTTCGCATCTCTTCGCGATCCGAAATAGCTCCCCAGTTTCTAAAACACTATTAGATAAATCTTATATTCTTATTTAACCTAGAAGATCATATATAGACCAAAGTTATCAGGGATTTCTGCAGCTCTCAAACATCAAACTTAATATGCATTATAGTTATTGAAAAAAGTAATACATTCATTTGTTAATATCTTTAAGCAAGAATTGATGTTTTTCTTTTACATTAAAATATGTTGCAATTATCAATTAAAATTAACGTAATTGGGGATCGCACCCCAGTCTTTCACTGTAACAGCTCATTGGTTAAGAGGATGTATATATAGAGGGAGAAATTTCTCGCCACAAATTCTGTGTCACCTCCATAAGTGACTTAAAAGTATAGAAAAAGCGAGTTCAGACAATACAGACAAGAAGATTTATCCTACTTAAAAAAAATGTTCGAAATATCAAAATGAAAACAAATTATGAAAAGATAATTTACGATTACGCTATGAAGCTTCCTTCCAATAATTAGTCCGCATTTTGATAATTTGAAATTTTTTCAACACTTGAAACTTCATCGTTTTCCTGAACCCCTTTTTTCTATATTTTATGTTGGTGAAACAGAATTTGCTATGAAAAGTTTCTCCCGCTGTATATACTGTACTCTTAATCAATCATTCATCACAAGAAAATGTTTTTCGTAATATTAATCCCTGAGATTGAGATTCAACGAAAAATCGATTCAATTTTCTTAAAAAATTAACAGAATAGCAAATTTGTTACAATTTTAATATCTTCAAGAAATCTAAAAAATTTTACAATGAAATTAATAGTATTGAGATTTGACAGTGTATTTTTTTAAAAAAAAATAACCCTCTTATTACTGAAGAGCACAGAAAAGAACATGCTAAGCTATATTTTGAACAGCTCAAATTCCGAAGTTTATGAACATCTTATGAGCAGCTGTATAGTCATAGAATACTAATTTATTTTTTAATATTCTAATGCGGCTTAATCTTTAAGGAAAACGATTTTACAATGTTTAAAGATAGATTGTAAGCACCCATCTAATTCTTTGTTTATTCTAAAACTGTTTTGCTTTTGTTATAAATTTATTAATATTTTATTTAATTTACTTTTTAACTGACTTTCATTTTACTTCAAATATTTACAATCACTTAATTAGGTTGTTTAATTGCCATTTAATTTATACGTTTAATTAATACAACTTGTTTAATTAATTTTTTTTAAATGGAGGGAATTTTTAAAAACCTTTTAGAATATTGAACTTGTTTATAAGACAGTAATAATTGAAGCTTCGTTTTCTTTAAAAAAAATAAATAATTAGAATATCTAATTAACTTATGCGAATCTTTCTAAAGTTAATTTTTGTTTATTTAGAAATAATTATTTTTTTGTGATACATTTAAAAAGCATAGAAATTTTTTTAACTTAGTTAAAATTATTACATTGTAAAATAATACAATGAAACTCATTAAAATAAGTTCTTATTATATATCTTTAGATAAAAGAAAAACTTAATAAAAATTAAAAATTAAAATAACGTAGTTTTAAGGTTGTATAATTAGTTTATTTTATAAAAATATTGCTGATATAAAATTAAATATATTTTTTATATGTTAAAATAAATTCTTAAAGTTTTATGTATTTTTAAATACAATAATTAAAATATCTGTTTTTGTAATGAATGGATTTCTCTCAAATCAAATAATTTTTTATATATTTTCCCCCTTTAATGCGAAATCAGTTTAGTAAATTTTCCATACATTTTTTTGTGCAAGTTTGATGTGTAGCATCAAGTACTTCCTGAAAAGGGATCTAAATTTAAATGGCTGTTGTCAAAATATTGATGAATTCAAAAACCGGGAAGGATAAAAAATGACATGTGCGTCCTTGAACAACCCTACCCCTCTTAAACTTCCCCCCATTTTATAAAGAACACTTGATGCTAATGCTGTTTCACTCCCTCAACTATACAGCGACAACATGTAATGGGTTTAAGTGATCTTTTCTTCAAATTAATGTCTTTACATGAAGCTTTATTTATAAAATAAATATAGTGTTCCTTAAAAAAAAAAGACTAGGAGAGGTAAATTTGTAATTTTTTTAAAAAATTTAATTTTTGCATATATGGCCATATTTTTAAATATAATTGCTGTGTCATTTATCAAATTCTTATATTATTCATAGAATGACCCCTGAAAACTGCATTTTATTACTCGAAATCATTTCGAATGTACAAAATTAAGTACGAAAATGCTGATGACATTACCGATTATATTATTGAAACTTAATTCTCTCATAAATGGTTGATAGTCAGAGATTTTTATTTCTCTATCTCATCCCTTTTTATTGGGCTTATCTGTGTTATTCAACCAATTATTATCATTTTTTTTTTTTACATTATTTGAAATGGGTTTCTTTATGGGCCTACTTAAACTGCTTGTTTCTTTTTCTTTTTAATGTATAATTCTCAATTTAATGAAATATTCGAGCCACGGTTACTCAGGGAATTGAAGGTTCGCCTCCTACTGAGGTAACCCAGGTTTGAATCCAAGCTTTGGTTGGTCGATAAGAATTCTGCACCCGCGGCTCATACTCACCACAGTGTTGACGTAAAATATCCTCAGTGGTAGATCCATTATTGGTTAAATATCCTTGCCTCCAGCCTAACCGGGGGAAATTTTCGTGGTTTTTTCTCTCTATGCAATCCGAAATGAGGATCAGTTCCATCAAAAAAGTCATCCACGAAGGCTAATTTGTCCCAATACTATATAGATGACTTTCCTTGTCTTCTAGGTTGGGCTCAAAATTACAAGGCTACGAAGTTGAACATTGATAGTCGTAAACTCAGGAAAATTCAGTCGGCTGTTCAATGCCGATTACATAAAATAAAATTTGCAATATCTAAATTTTTATATGTGTTTCTTATGTTAAAAAAAATTGTCCATCGTTTTTAAGCAACTAATATTCTTTTTATAATTCAAAAAATAAATAAATAAAAACCTCCTCAACACTTTTAATCTGCTAAATAATCGTTTCTCATTACACACTTTCGTTGAGAATATATCTATATTATGTGGGGGTTTTTTTTCCTTGGTAAAAAAAAGCAAAATACTCTCAAAATATAGATTTCAAAAATATCTTAAGCATTAGTGATCAAATTTACATTTGATCATTTGAGCATTTGAATTGGAAATTTTAGTATTTTTAAATGGTTGCTTTTATGACTTACAAACCTGTATCCATGAGAACAAAAGTGCATTGAGGTGAAAGCTTCTGAATGCTGGGCGTTTCAAGATTAATATGTACAAAAATTAACACAAATAGCGAGTTTGTTTTAGATTTAAATTTAATCAGAAGTTTGACGTGCAGAGGATTCTAAGGAATATCCGATTAAAAAAATAATAATGCATACATACAATCCAAATAAAGATAGGATATATTTTGCTCAACTACGACAATGAACTCAGCTAAACAACGTTAATAAAATACAAATAACGGGATAAAAATGGAGATATTATAGTTTCAATTCTATAAACGAGAACCTTCCTCTGTGTCTAGTCACAAAATGACAGAAGAAAAAAACTAGACAACCTAGTTGCAATGAGAAAATTGTTTTTAACCAATAGGAAAGAGAGATAAGCAAGGAACTAGGTAAACGAATTACAATAGAGAAAGAGTGGTTTAACATGCTTGTTCTTCTACTTTTATTGGTTAAACTACTTACACATGCAATGTTTCGTTTGTCACAGGCTAGGTGTAAAACTTTTCTCTGAAATTCAACTGAATTTCTTAAATTTATTTCTAATTTACTACTTCTAATGTATCTCTTGTTAAATGTGAAAATCTTTTTTACAGTTGCTTCTTCACCCATTGCTTCAGTTTCCACTACAACAGAACCAGAATCTCCAGCAGAAGTAAAAGTCGAAAATCACCATAACCACCACCAGCCACATCATCACCACGACTCTGTACCCAACCTAGAACATGGAACAACGAATACCAATGGTTCAAGTAGCACCGAAAGACTAGACGATTCTTCTAGATTAGACGATGACGACACGAAGAAGAGAGACAGCAGTCCATCGTCTAACCCCGGAACTCAAACGTCTCTCGATCAACCGGGTGGGCATAAGGTGAAACAGCGTCGATCTAGGACAAACTTCACTTTAGAACAATTAAATGAACTGGAGAGACTGTTTGATGAGACCCATTATCCTGATGCTTTTATGAGGGAAGAACTTTCTCAAAGGTTGGGATTGTCTGAAGCTAGAGTACAGGTAAGCTTTAATGTATTTGGAATATTTTTTTCACCAAATTAAAAATTTAAGTGGAATTGGAAACTGAATTTTAGTAAATTTTTATTTATTACTTATTCATTAATAAAAACTTATAAATTTTATACATACAATTTTATACTTTAACCCTTTACAGCAGTGTTACCCAAACTTATGACTTCTGTGTACCCTTACGCTGTGTACCACTAATAAAAAAATGAATGTATTTTTTACTATAGAAAAATTGCAAAATCACAACTGGCTGTTGACATCACTCATTATTATCTGTTAACTCTGAAAAAAAATAGCCAATAGGAAAATACGTAATCGTAAATTTTCATGGCTAGCTTTGTTTTTAAATAAAATCTTTGGCAATTTTCGTTTGTTGCAAGATATTTCGCATAAGAAGACGTACCCCCGCTAAACTGTTCCCGTACCCCTGGGCGTACGCGTACCACACTTTGGGAAACACTGCTTTATAAGAGCGGTGGGAAGTATATTGCCCGTCAACTTCATTCAATTTTAAATGTTGATCGTAAGCTACTTTCCCACCTATGTGGCCATCTGTAAATAACTTCAAAAACTACGAAAAAAATCAATAAAGGATTTTATTTACATAATAGTGGGTAACAGTAGTTTAGCTTGGAGTACGAGATGAGAAACTGATTATGGGTCTGTTTATTTTATCATTTTTGTCGAGTTTATTTGTTGTTATAAACATAAAGTTAATAGATTCGGTTATTTATAAACACAGAAGTTCGAGTTTATGATAAATTATTTATAGTAAGTAAAATTTTGAAAGTCCATCCACCTAATATGCATTTTTTATGTGCCGTTTTGCACTGTTGCGAGTTTGCAAGAGCTATTCATGGCTGTTATGTCCGGTTAAGCCTATCTTAAAGCCAGCGTTCTATATCGCTGGTTCAAAACTAAAAGGACACTTCTGTCTGCACTCACTTCTCATTCAAATAACATGAGAAGTGAGTTAAGAAGTGTCGTTTTAGATTTGAACCAGCGATAGGTTAACTCTGAAAGTGACGCAAAACGTTAATATGAAGTAAGACCACAGTTTTCTGAAAATCAAAGATGTTTGTGATGGAATTTTTTAACAATTTAAGAGTTACGACAACGCTGCATTAATTGGGGTCATAAAAATTTGCTAAATTTTGAGAATTATTCATTATTTTGATACATTACGTCTAATGGAAAAAATCTCGCCACATTGGTGGTTTATTAAAAAAAAAAAGTTTAATAATTTTAAAAATATTTAAGTGTTCTGCCAGATAGTTCTTAACGCAAAATGTTATATACAGTTTAAAATTATTAGCGTTGTATCAAGTATAAGGTACTTAATATATGTTTTATTCTTTTTCATTAGCAAAAAAAAAAAAAAAAAAATTGCATCGAAAAACCTTAATAAAGCTTATGAAAGGAAATGATAGAAAGGAAAGGATCGGGAAAAGAGTTTCTCGTTTCTTGTTTTATTGAGTTTCATTAATTGAAAAAATCTGATTATTTTGATGCTTGAGAAGTAAAGAAGGTTAGTGCGCAATGTTTGTTATATTTGCTTCCATCGTAGCATCGGCTACGAAATTAAGGAATCTTAAACTTTATGAGCCCCTCACCCAACAACTGGTTAAGCAACGAACATATTGACAAATATCAGGATCAGGCAAAAGGCAGATCTAGGATTTAAAATCCGTTATTTCGAGATTTTAAAATCCATAATTGTTAGATAAGATTGTTTTGTTGGGATTTATTATTTTCAAAATCACTACATTTTTGGATAATATAAGGGTCAGATAGAAATTTAAAAAAAAAATTTTTTTTTAGGATTTATTATCCAAAAAATCCAAAGATTTAAAATCCAAAGATATGTGGATGGCATAAGGGTTAGATAAGATTGTTTTGTTAAAGGCAGAAAAAGAATATTTTCTTTTGAATTTAATCTAAACCATTTTGTATTAAAAATAAATAAAAAAATTTTTTTTTAAAAAATGGTCTCAGCAGAGAAAATTAAGCTTAAAAATAAAGACCCAAAAAAAAAATATATATATAAGATTTATATATTTCGAACAAATCCGCAAAGTGGTTTTATGATGGTCACGTGACCTCAAAGCAAGGAATCATCGTACACCACACATTCGAAACAGGCCATAAATCTCGGCAACAGATGATTCGCTAATATTTAATCATAGTTTTCCCTATAATATTTAGAAATATTACGAGGCAAAGGCAAATAATAGATTACTTAGGGGAGATCTTTATTCATGGGCCGAAAAAAAAAAAAGTCCCATCTGGAGTCCATGACGAGTCACGTGATCTTTCGGCGGGATTGTCCTTTCGTCTATTTAGCGGCTGCGGCCTGCTCTTAATCCGATTAGGAACCGATCACCCTCGCACCGACATTCCAAATTACGCATCACCAATTGCCGATGACAGAACTACAGTGCTATATCCCAACTAAATCCTCCATCCAGCAATTGCCCGTCTATCCCCGGGAGCATGATTTTGTCCCTCTTCCCCCTCCCTCACATTTATGGGATGTTTTTCATCATTTATTTTTGTACCCCTCCGCTTTATTAAAAAATAAATCGGTTTCATTTATTACAGTACATTTTTGTTTGGGTTGATGATAGTTTGTATGAGAAAGGGGGGAATGCTTATTCGTTAGTTATAAAATAATTCAATTTAACATATGTTGTTTAAAACAATCCAGATTAATATTTTCACCAATATTCCTTATGTTTCATTAAAAAGTACTATGGCGTAGCTTCTATGAGAGGAAAATTTAAATATTGGTTTTTTCGTAAATAGCAAGAAAATTTAAAGTAAAAATTCGTGATTTTATTAACTCTACTTATAACGTGGCATTCATGGTATTTGGAATTAAGTAATGTTTATTTTTTAAAAAAAACTATAAAAATTTTGTGCAATGAAGCTATTTAAAATTTAAACATAATATTTTGGACTAGGAAAGAATAAATAGAATAAAACTACTATTAAATATCAATAAATTTATCGTTACGGCATTTATAAATTAGAATAAGATAGTGAGATTTTAACCCACTTCTATCGCGATGCCTTGCTTAACACTTTAAAGGGCGATTTAATTACATTATATTTTTATTTTTAATAATAAAATATTTAAAAAATACATTAAATATTGTAAAATATTTTTTGAAATATTATACAATTATCTTTGTAAACATTTTTAAAATGTTAAGTATCTTTTAAATTGATAAATATTTTTAAAATAGTTTTGGGACTGCGATAAATTTCTTAAAAAAAAAAATTCTTTTTGTTTATTACCGAAAATATATTTGACTTTTAAAACCAATTTTGTTTCTTAGGGTGAAGTGCGGGTGGATTTTTGAAATTTTCCTACTTTAAATAACTGGCTATAAATAACTGCAAATAGCTGTGTTTTTAAATAACCAAATTTATAAATTTCATGTTTATAACTGAAAAATAAACAGCACGAAAAAAAAAACTCGCTGAGAAATAATGAAATGAGCGAATGCCTAACTTACAAGAGAAAAGTTCGCCCAATTGTTCATCTCTTTTCTTGACTCCACGCTAACGTTTTCTATCTCCCATATTTATGTAAAGAAAATCCTTTATTGGTACTTATTTATTTTATTTTGTTTTGTTTTTTGAAGTTATCAGCAGATGCCACACCAATCGTAGGTAGGAAAATAGCTTTCCAGCCTCATTTAACAATGATGAAGTTCTGCAAATCTACATTCTGCAAGATGCAAATCTACATTCTACAGTGTAATGAATGCTCTAATTAGGTCATTTCTGATCAATCCTTTCCTAATACTTTTTTTTAAAAATAAATTTTTGACCTGATTAAAAAATGCATTTCTGAGGAAAGATCAATTCGCAGATAATGAGTCCTATAGTAACTATTGTTTTGAAATAGTTTCATGTTAAATGTGACTTTTCAAGAATTTACTCTCAATTGTTTATTCAATTTTTTTCCTTCCTTATAACAGTTATTATTTACTGATGGTGAATGGAGATATGCATTAATTAATTTTAGATTTTACCCGTTAGTCTAATTTTGAGTAATGATAAGCTTGCGGTCTATTGTATATTTTGGCAAGACTGCAAGTTTTAATTCTAAAGCAGATATTGTGTATAAACAATTGTACTAAACTGCATAGACAATTAGAAATTTCTCTCAATGAAATAAATAGCTTCTAGATTTTTTTTGCGTTTGCAATCCTCTAATAATATAAGCTGTGCTTAATTTACTTACATTTACATTGCATTTGCGTGCAAACATTTTATTTAACAGCTTCTAGCTATCTTAAAAAGAAGCGGAAATTTCTTAAATACATATTTTTTTATATTAACTTTTATATCGATATAGGGTAAACCAATCAGTGAAGGAACACTACCCAGTAAAGGAACATTTCATATATATTGATTAAAAGTAAGAATTTGAAAGTTTTTCTTTAGATTGATTAGTAATAATAGCTTACTTCCAAACAATAGGAAGTCCTCTAGCAATGTTTTGGATTACCTGGTTAAATAGACTTCGCTGGAAAAATTTTTGAATTTTTTATTATCTCTGCATCACCTTGTTTCTTTGTGAGGGAACAGGCATGTTCCTTTACTGGGCATAGATTTCCCAGTGAATGAACAGTATGTGTTAATATGTTGACACTTTAATTTTCAATTCATGATTACAAACAAAAGTTAACATTTTCCAAGTATTTATATGTTAAAATTTCAAGAATAGGCTTGTTATTAAATATTTGTATGACTTACAAATTTATAAAGAGCATTAAAAAATAACCAAAATTAAGTGTTCCTTTATTGGGTGTTCATTCACTGGTAAGAGCTGTTCCTTCACTTGGTCTTCTTACTACTTGTTATTTGAACCTCCAATACTTTAAAACAATATTATGTAAGTTCTCTAAAATGTTTTTTACATAATTTGCAATTACACTGGTTATCATAAATTAAGGAAAATTCACAAAAATCGCGAT